ACGCTTACTTATCTTTCCATCCTCATCACAGGAGGTTCCTGAGGTTTGCTTTCGGGGGCAAAGCATACCAATATTGGGTTCTCCTATTCAGCCAAGGTTCTCACCCCACACCTTTGTTTTCAGTAAATGGGGTATGTATCATGGCAGCTGCGTCCAACGTAATTACTTTTGGCCTTCTGTACATGAGACCCATGCAGTGATGGCTCAGGACTAAGGGGTTTTCTCTGAGGAGAAAAAAGTTTTTCGCATGATCGAGGTCACGCGGCTTTGCCTTCGTGCTTCGGTCTTGAGGAAGAACCTTGGTTCCTCGCCCAGGCCCACTGTTGGGGGCTTCCTGTCAACGCATAATGTTATCGACGGATGCTTCCCTCACAAGTTGGGGGGTATATCTAGGCCAGTTACTCACTGTCAAGCATTTTTTTAGACTGGTGTCTCTCACGGCAGCTGTGTCCAACGTAGTTACTTTTGGCCTTTTATACATGAGACCCATGCAGTGATGGCTCAGGACCAAGGGGTTTTCTCCGAGGAGAAAAACGTTTCGCATGATCAAGGTCACACGGCTTTGCCTTCGTGCTTCGGTCATGTCGAAGAACCTTGGTCCCTCACCCAAGCCCAGTTTGGAGGCTTCTTGTCGACGCATAATGCTATCAACGGATACTTCCCTGACAAGATGGGGGTGATCATGAGTGGTCGCTCGGCGAATGGTACTTGGCAGGACCATCTACCTTTTAGCACATAATTGGCTAAAAGTGATGGCGGTATTCCCGAAAATCTCAATACTTCCTGCCAGATGAAGTATTACACTGATGATAAAACACTGATGGTCTCGTATATCAGAGCAGATATCCTGTTGAGGCAGGGGCTGAGGCCCAGGGAATGGAGACTCACCCCCGAGGTGGTGGAGCTTCTTAGGGAGAACTAAAGTCAAACTAAAGTCAGTCGACATTTCACATCGTTGGTACAACGCATTGCTCTATTTTGTTCTCCCTCACACATCCAGCTCTGCTTGGACTGGATGTGATGTATTAGGTGTGGTTAACACTACACCGGTACGCATTTCCCGATATCTTTGCTCCTGGGAGTTCACCCTCATTTGGAGTTTGGATACTGTGGCTTGGCCTCTGAGGGAAGCATCCTCCAATCCAGAGCTCCTTCCACGAGAGAAACTATATGCATTGAAATGGAAATTATTCTCCATCTGGTGTGGCGAACATCACCAAGATCCTGTTAACTGCCCTGTTGATACAGTTCTTGATTTCTTGCAAGACCGTTTCTCTCTGGATTATCTCCTTCTACCTTAAAGGTTTACGTGGCGGCTATATCGGCCTACCACACCCCTCTTGGGGGTACTTCTATCGGGAGAGATCCTCTAATTACTACTTTTTCTCGGTGGTACATGAGGTTGAAACCTGCACTGCACTCAGAGCACCGGCTTGGGATTTGGCCATTGTACTTGAGGGTCTGGCTTTGGCTCCCTTTGAGCCCATTGAAGAGGTTTCAGAAAAATTCCTCACTTTGAAAACATTTCTCCTTGCTGTTTCATTTACCGGAGATTAGGAGATTTGCATGCCCTGTCGGTTGCTCCTTCATGCCTGGAATCTGCACCGGGTATGGTGAAAGCATTTCTATACCCTAGACCGGGTTATACTCCTTAGGTCCCAGTTTATTTTTGGGGGCCTTATAGTGCTGCAGGCCTTTTATCCTGCACCTTTTAATACCCCAGATCAGGAACGACTGAACCTGTTATGTCCAGTTCGGGCATTATATGCCTACGTTCACAGAGCTGCCCTGTGGCGTAAGTCTGAACAATTATTTGTCTGCTTTGGGTCACTTAAGAAAGAGTCCCCTGCATCTAAACAGGTTATGAGCAAATGGATAGTCGAGGCTATATCATTAGCTTATGAAGCGGCTGAACAGCTTTCACCTATGGCTGTTCGGGCCCATTCTACTAGAAGTATGGCAGCCTCTACGGCCTTTATTCCGAGTGTTTCCCTTCTCGATATTTGTAATGCGGCAGGATGTCCTCTCTGCATACATTTGTCAGATTTTATGACCTTGGCCTCTCCACTCCTGGGGCTAGGTTGCTTGCTTCTTAGTGTGCGCAAGGACTTCACACAGAACGGGCATTTCTCAGCATGGCGTAGTGGGTATGGGGTTCCCCATCGCGTTTGACAACGCAGCTCGAAGTTCCCTTGAAAGGGAACGTCTCAGGTTACGTATGTAACCCTGGTTCCCTGAGAGGGAACGAGAGCTGCGTTCGCCTGCCATACTTCCTGCATGCCCTGATCGACTTGCTTCAGGCCTTTTACAGAAGCTGGCGCGGTCTGATCTCAAGGGTGCTTTATATTTTTTTGGTCGATGATGTCACCTGACGTCCTACTCTCTCATTGGACTGATTGTACAGACGCTTCACGACGCAATCACGCAGAGCGTTCCCCATCGCGTTTGACAACGCAGCTCTCGTTCCCTCTCAGGGAACCAGGGTTACATACGTAACCTGAGACGTTTTTTAATAAAACATTTAATACTGTATCCATAAACATGTTATCATACACATATCCCAAACCATCAGAAATTACTTTACAGATTTATGTATACTCTAGCTACAATATTTCACACAGTTAATTCTGAGAGAGTATAGAATAAAATATTGAACGAAAGCAATTTGATAAGAATTTTTTACTCACAGCATTGAATCATTGTAATAATGGCCATTTTAGCAATAATAATGATAATGCTAAATTATTTTCAGTGTAATGTTAAAGTTAAAGTTAAATATTACTGGTTTAATGTTGATGAAATGGTATATTATGCTTACCGGTGAGAATGTGTGGGTACCTAAATTCAAAAAGATTGGTAAAGTCTAGTAGAATAATAATCATTGTTTGAAATAGATTAAAAAATGTATTTAGAACTTAGAATTTAAAATAGAAAACATTAATACATGTTATGTTTTCATGTTTAATGGGGACTTTCCATTGACATAATGATTTTTACACTATACAAACTGTGTATTCTATCCCCCAAACCTACCTATTTTTACAGATTTATAAGCTGTTTTTATCATGAGGACCAAAATGTCCCCACAAGATAAGGATGTTTTGTCCCATAAGGCAGGGTTTTATTTTTTAATTCCAATTAATGTTCATTTTATTTCAAGTGGCAGAATTTTGTTTTGTGTTGTTTGTTTTATTTTTAATTCTAGTTTTAGTTAACTATGATAATAACAACTCTTGCCATGGTGCCTTAAAGATGCCTTAATAGTGTCTAGATAGGCAGCTAAATGGGTTTTGGAGCAGAGCATCTGGAGAGAGAGACAGAACAGATAAAATAAAGAAAGCAGAAGACCGCAAGTGAATGAGTGAGAAGTAAATTAAAAATAATGGAGGAAGTATGTGAGAGATAAAGCACAGAGATGGGCCAACGGTTTATTGCCTCTAACTGCATTGCTGCGTGTCTCTATCTGTATTGTATTGTGTGGAGAGGGTGATGGCTAAGATGCAAATCGCTTTTCGCTGCAAACAATATTGCATTTCTGCGAGCTTCATCCATCCTAGAGAGAGCGGCGGGAAGCAAGATGGATGGAGCGCTGAACTTTAATCAGGAGGAAGCCTGGAGCGATGGAGACTTGCTTTGGTCTGTTTTTTTTTTTCAGTGCAGGATACAGATTAAATCAGTCACACGCACACATACACATACTCATCATATGACCACGACTGACACTACGATGACAATCCATCTCTTTCCCATCAGCTTTGTTGACGTCCAACTCCCCCACACATCCCAAAATCACATCACACACGCACTGCAAAAGACAGATGAGGAAAAACAGAATGAGAAAATAATCTCGTCTATGAGGACTTAAAACCCAAAGGACTCTCAAATTGACTAAACACGGCTGTTCTTGTCCACCCTTTTTTATAACAAACACACTCACTCGCACACCAGCCAACCAAATTCTCTTTACGTTCCAGCAAACTTTTCTTTTAACACATCTCATCCAGCTGGAAACAGTCGGATCCTCCAAATGTGTAATGCTTGAAGCCCCATCCTTTTTTCGTCAATGTTCCTGCAACACTTGAGTCACAATTACGGAGCCCAGGAAGTCACCTGTGGGGAAAAAAAAACAATCCAAGGTGACGGTTTTGCAATCCGTCCCCTCCCAGATAGCACGAGGCTGTTTGATCTCCTATTTACATCTGGAAGATGTATTTTAAAGAGTGTTTAAAATAAAGAGACGTAAAGAGACGTGTTATATCCCTACCCCTATTTTTCTTAATTTCTTATTTCTGTTGAAAATCCTAGGATGGATTCTACCCTGGAGGGTTGTTTACCCAATGAAGATCAGCTGCACCTGTGGCAACCTATTTAAGGAGCTTCTGGATTTTCCCCACTCTCTCTCATTTTTGTTTTGTCACTTTGTTTGAAGAGTGGGTTCTTGAGTTTGTGTTTTCATTTGATTTTTCACCACTCCACAAACCTCATTTCCAACCGTTTATTGATTTGATGTTGTGTTGATATTTATTATTATTATCTTATGTTTTGACCCTAGACACTATTTGTTTAACTTTAAATAAAATTATATTTTCTATTTTGAAACACAGTTTGTTTTGTCCTCTTTATGTTATGACTTTGAGCCGGCTCGTAACATAAATTGGAGCCTCGTCCCACTGCGCAACGTGACGTCGATGTGACTTTTGACGATGATGAAAATGACGATGTCATTTTTGGACGTCCAAATTCGGTCCAATGAAGAGGTTGTTTTGTAACGCCAGACGACGTCTTTTTTTCGACGTCAACTGCACGTCTAATTTGGACGTCTGTGGGACCTCCGTGTAAGGGCTATTTATAGTCCAAATGTGGTTACTTATGGACGTCTTTTCAACGTCAAATTTAGACTTATATTATACGTCGTTTTTCTAACTTATATAACTTTACAACATTACAGTTATACACATACAAATAAATCACAATTCAATAATCACCATTTTTATCTTTATTCAAAAATAAATTGCCATGAATAGCATCAGAAGGGCACCGGACATATCAAGCACAATTATGTACAAATAATTAGATTGTAATTTAATTATGAACAAATAATTAGATTGCAATTGAAGGGCACCAAATATATCTAGCACAATTATGAACAAATAATTAGTTAGTAGATCTCTATGAATGTAGTGTAAGACATTTACAAGTGATGAATAGTTCACACTTTATGCAGAAAGTGCAAATGATTAATTCATGCCTTTACACATCTATAACAGGTGTTGAACACTGTAGTGTAAAATTGTAATTTAATTTAATTATGAACAAATAATTAGATTGTCATTGAAGGGCCACAGTAAAGCACAATTATGAACAAATAACTAGATTGTAATTTAATTTATAATTCAAGTCCTCTCGTCTTGGCTCATCAGGGAGTTGTGAATCCTCTACCTCCAATCTTTGCGGCGCGTGCTTGAGGTGCTCAGAAACATGCATCTTGATTTACTTCTCTGTGGCTGCAGAATCAAATTTCATGATCCCTCCTACACAAGCAGAAAAATATATGATTTAGATATATGCAACGGCAATCTGAAATCATTCACCAAAGGCCCCACATTTGTAAGCAAAAATATGTTTCCTTGCATCCATTACTGGATAAATACTAAGCCATCTCAGCAACTGTTAACTAACACTTAGGCTGTCTACAAAGAGGCACTAAGCAGACTGCACTTTTTTTAGAAAGCTTGCATTCTTTAATGTGTGCATTAGAATGTTGACCATTGTCAACACCTTATAATAACGTTCAGTTGTAAGTCTGTAAGTGGTTAGTTAATGAACTACTTTGAAAATATTAGTATCATTTGCTAATCATTTATGAATGTTTTGTCAATTCCGTTACAAGTCATTTACAAGTTATTAGTAAATTATTAATGTATAAAACATGAATATACGTTTCATACATGAAAAAAATAATAATGTATGCATCTAGCAATTAGAGGGGGAAAGTGTTGTAAATGTCTTGTATTCATGTACATATCATTTGAAACAGGTAAGTAACAGTTTTTAACAGTGTGTAAATGCATGAATAAGTCATTTACAACACTTTCTGTATCCCCTAATCTAAAGTGTATAGTAATCGCTAGTAAATGTGTTACAAAGCATGCGTAGATCTTATGCCTTATTGATTCTTGAAGTGGTAATCTACGAATGAAGTGTAAGACATTTACAAGTGATGAATAGTTCACACTTTATGCAGAAAGTGTAAATGATTAATTCATGCCTTTACACATCTATAACAGGTGTTGAACACTGTAGTGTGTACTGCAGTGTAATTGCTGACTAGTGAGGTTGTAGACAGCTGTCTTCTCTAAAACACAAGGAGTCTAACCACTAGGCACCTGACATTTATGAAACGTAATGATTAATAATTTACAAAACACGACTATTCAATTGTAAATGACTTGTAATAATTTACAAAACATACATGAAGTGTTAGCATATCACTTGCTAAACATTTATGAATGTTTTGTATATGATTAGTTCATCATCAACCACTTATAAATTACTTAAAACACTGAAATAACAGTTTGTAATAACGTTCAGTTGTATCAACCTGTTGTGCTTTGTGCAATTTACAAAAGTTAGCTTTGTGCTTGGTAGAGGGCTGCATTGGGATTGAGTACCGCCGGGTCCCACGGGAGTGTAACATCCGTTGCGGGAGCGGGCGGTAATGGTCAGAGATTCGGCGGGGTGAGGAAAATAGTCCTGCGCAGGGCTCTACTTGGAAACACATTGGACTCAATAAAAAATACTATTGAGAATAATTTTGCACAAAAAAATAAATAAAAGGGATTAAAGGGATACTCCACTTTTTATGAAATAGGCTCATTGTACAACTCCCCTAAAGTTAAACAGTTGGGTTTTACCATTTTCTAAATCATTCAGCAAATTTTCTGATATTTAGAAGAGTATATCAGTAACCAGATAGTTTCTGTTCTCATTGACTTCCATAGTGGGAAAAACATATATTATGGAAGTCAATGGGACCAGAAACTGTCTGGTTACTGATACTCTTCTAAATATCAGAAAATCGTAAATAGTAAAACTCAACTGTTTAACTCTGAGGGATTTGTAAAATTAGCCAATTTCCAGACAAAGTGGAGTATCCCTGATAATACAACACATCAACTATTTGTCAGAGCAGACTGTTTTCAGTTGAAGGCTACTTCAACTTCAAAGTAATAAGGACCACCACAGGAAGTCATTCATACCCAGAGGTATAACAGTTTGTACTGACTCACCTTTATGCCATGAGAGGAGAATAATATTGAGATCTGTTACTTTTAACTTTGCTTTCAAATATGATTTAATCAGTCAGACTTTGAAGGGTTAAAGGAGTAGTTCAAATTAAAAAAAAAATTAAAAAAAGCTTTTGCTGATAATTTACTCTGCCCCATGTCATCTAAGAAATCCATGTCATTCTTTCTTCAGTCGAAAAGAAATTAAGGTTTTTGATGAAAACATTCCAGGATTTTTCTTCATATAATGGACTTTACTGGGAACCAAACAGTTCAAGGTCTAAAAGACAGTTTCAGTGCAGCTTCAAAGGGCTTTAAACGATTCCAGATGATGAATAAGGGTCTTATCAAGGACCCTTTGAGTCATGACTCGAAAAAAGATTAGTTCATTTTGATGAACGAGTTCAAACAGGAGAGTCACGAACGCTCATCACAGAACAGAGCAAGGCAAGCATTTGTGCTCATAAAACTTTAACTTTTTTATTTATTTATTAATGAGCGATCGTTTCGCTAGATAAGTCCCTTATTCATTGTCTGGTGTTTTTAAAGCCCTTTGAAGCTGAACTGAAACTCTCATTTGGACCTTGAACCGTTCCCATTGAACTCCATTATATGGAGAAAATACTGGAATAATCCTGGAATGTTTTTATCAAAAACCTTAATTTCTTTTTGACTGAAAAAAGAAAGACATGGACATCTTGGATGGCATGGGGGTGAGTAAATTATCAGCAAAAGCTTTCAAAAGTGAACTAGTCCTTAAAGAACTCTAATGATATCTTTACCCCCTGATAGGGTTAATATTGCAAATATTCTATTGCAGATATAAATTCAAACATTTAAACATAAAGGCTAAGAGTATGAGCCATGAGTAAACTGGCCAGATATCTGTGAAAAATAACTTGCGTACCTAAAGTTGTCGACCCCCTGAATTCAGCATTTAAAAGTAAAAAGAATTTCAGTATTTATCAGTAAAAAAATACATAAAAATAAATAAATACCTTTGAGTTGGACAGTACGATGTCTCATTGGACAACTTATTTCAAAACACACCTAGAGAAATAAAATAAAAATACCAATGACCATGATATTCTGTTATCATAATAGTTAAATTCATTATTATAACTATGACCTTTATAACATGATATTTGCCATATATTATTTAGCTGATTATTTAGCCTAAAGGCTTCTTAAGGACAACCTCACAAAAAAAAAACACAAAAAAAAAACTGGGGTTAAGACTTCTTTCAAAAGCATAAATCCTACAGATCTACAACTTTTGAACAGTAGAGTACAGTATGTTTGAGGTTTTGCTTACTAGTCGAGTTCATAGTCGTGGAGATTGTCTTGGACAGGGGGTGCAGTAACTTAGGACATCAACATGATCTTAGAAAATAACATGCAATGTGTCACAGCCAACAATGTTACATACGATTAGAACATAGGGTTTATTACAAGGAAGCAAGCATATATAATTTCTCTTTTCTGCATTTCACCTCTCCTCTAGCTAAGAAAAGAGAAAGTATATACATAAATATTATTAAATAAATTCATATGAGCATGCATTATTAAGAAAAACATCTTATAATAATGTATAATGTCATTAATATTAAATCATGAAGTTAAAACTAATTTTTTAGTTCTATGATATTTGTATACCATATTTGCTTTTGATTTTATTTTTATTGTAGGGGGGCCTATTTATATATAAATAAAAAAATAAAAATAAAACAAATATTACAAATCAATAATTTCCAGCAACTGTCAAAAGACGTCCAAATGCCGTCCAAAAAAAGTTACCCAGTTTAAGGTCAAATGTTGGACGTCAAGATGACGTCCAAGTTGGGTCATGGTTGGACGTCCAAATAACAGACCTAGTTTGGACGTCGAATAGACGTCCACAATTGGTCATGGACCGACGGACCCAATATAGACATGATCTGCACGTCTATCCGACATCCAATGTTTAGTGGGGTCCGGGATCAATAATGGTTTGGGAGTTTGAGTTTTGGTTGAGTGGAGAGTGGAAAAAGTTATTGGATTATTAGAGTTCTCCGGTTAGGTAGAGTGTTCCAGCTGGGTTGCTAGTCAATCCTTCCAACGGCACACTGTTTGTTTTGTTAGTTTGTTTTGTTAGTTTGTTATTTTTGAAGGCATCCTGGGTGGAGATCTAATCTCTGTTGGGGGTACGCTATTCAGGGCCTGGTTTTTTCCAGGTGACATAAAGTTTAGCGTCTAAAGTGGCCCTGAGCCTGGTAACCCTTTGAAGATTAGAGAGGTTTTTTTTTTTTTTTTTTTTTTTTGATGTACCGGAGCGGTCTAAGATATCCATGTTATTGGTGTACTCTTTAGCATCAATGATTAGTTTTGGGAACATGTGAAATGTTGTTTTTTGTTGAGAGAGCATTTTGTTTTCATACCCACTTTCTTCAAGTTGGTAAGTCATTTTGCACCAGTAACCAAAGTTAAGCATGTTGCTGTTTTATGTATAACATGCAGTGTTAGGGTAGCATGCTAGGTTGTTGAATGTGGTCAGCAATTTAGGCATTAATTTGTGACTGAGTTTGGTCTCTTTTTGGAAGGAGTACTATATTGTTAGCATGTTACCTGTTGAGAGGGTTTTGTTAAACCTTGTTAGTGTAGGTTAAGAAATGTAATTGTTAACTGGTGTATTAAATTACTGTTTTGTAGCTTTGTGGAAATGGAGTTGTTTGTGAGATTTAGTCCTTTTCTTCTGTGAAATCTATTTGAAAGGATATTGTGGTTTTTCGAACTCCTATAGCTACTGTTTTGAAGGTGTAGAGTTTAGCAATGGCTTCTAATGTTGAAGATTTTTTGAAAGCACCATCCGAGGAAACACTTGAAAAGTGTACTAAAGAGCAGCTGTTGCTGATTGCCTCTCATTATGATATAGAGCTCACTACTGCTGATAAAAAACTTAAAGAGTCAGTCTTAAAAAATTTAAAGGGTACTTTGCAGGAGAGAAAAGTTTTGGGTGAAAAGTTACTGGCGCCAGAGATTGTTTTTGCCAGTGAGGTTAAGCTGAAAGAGATGGCATTACGAGAAAAAGAGTTAGATTTGGAGTTGGTGAGGTGTCGTATAGAACAAGACCAAATAGCCTTAAACTAAAGAGCTGCAGGGAGAGCTTGAGTTGAGGAAATTGGATGAACAGGAAAGGGAGCACGAGCGTGCCTTTGTTCTTAAAAAGTTGGAGTTGGAGTTGTCAGGTGGGAGACCTGTGTCACAGTCTTCGTCTGCACCGTCCTGTCTTGTCATCAGCACTACACTTCCCAGGATCCTCTTGTCTCCACTTCTGAACTCACTCCCTCATCAGCCACCTGTTCCTCGTCTTGTTCATCAGTATCACCTGTCTTCACATCATTATTGTTTGATTCCTCTGTGTATTTAGTTCTCCCTCCTTCAGTCTGTGTTTGTCGGTCAATGTTTAATGTTACGCTGTGTATCCTGTCTTCCTGCCTGTATTTTTGAAATTAAATCTACGTTCTTCGTGATTTTGGACTCAGCCTGTCCTTCTGCCTGAACCCGCACCGTGACAGATTGACCGACCAAAACCTTGACAGCATGGGACTTCTCCTCACCCCAGCTCTCACCACCCTCAACCTATTTCAAGACGGACGCTCATCTGAGGAGTATGTCGGCAGGTTCCTGGAGCTCTCTGCTGGGGTAGGTTGGTCAGATGACGTCCTAAAGTCAGTCTTTTGGTTGGGTTTGGACGATCATCTGTACCAGCAAGCCCCAGCAGCAGCGTTTCCAGGAACCTTCGCCGAATACCTGGACCATGTGTTGTGGTTGAGTGGGTCAGCCTTCACCGTTGGTGAGGCTGAAGATGACAGCACCACTCAACCACACACACCCACCATCATCACCACACCTGCCATCATCCCCTCTCCGCTAGTTCCGTCTAGCCTCTCAGAGCCCGAGCTCTCTTCTTCGCTGGTCCCGTCCAGCCCCGTCCAGCCCGCTCCAGAGACCGTCCAGCCCGCTCCAGAGACCGTCCAGCCCGCCCCAGAGACCGTCCAGCCCGCCCCAGAGACCGTCCAGCCCGCTCCAGAGACCGTCCAGCCAGCGCCAGAGACCGTCCAGCCAGCGCCAGAGACCGTCCAGCCAGCGCCAGAGACCGTCCAGCCAGCGCCAGAGACCGTCCAGCCAGCGCCAGAGACCGTCCAGCCTGCGCCAGAGACCGTCCAGCCAGCCCCAGAGACCGTCCAGCCAGAGCCCGAGACCAGGATCCCACCCAGCCTCCCTCTCCCACCTCCTCCCGTCACGCAGCCGTCAGCCCTTCCGTCTGCCAGCTCCCCTGACCCAGCTGGGTCGTTGGATCCCCGGCCTTCGCCTCACACCTCCTCCATCTGGACACTTCCTCGGCCCCCGGTCCCATTGGCTCCCCCGTGGCTCCTACCTCCCTCAGCTCCTCCATGGCCCCTCAGTCCACCAGCTCGGCCAGGCTCCCTCGACCCTCCGGACTCCCTTCGCTCCCTCGTCATCCTCCCTTCACCTTGGGACTTCCTTCCTCTGGCTCCGCCCCGTCATGTCACCCCCCCAGTTCTGTCGGACTCCTCACTCCCTCCAGTCACCCGTCAGCCCTCACTCCCTCTGACCTCACCGTGTCCCTCTGTGCCCCTGTCGTCACTTCCGTCACCTGAGCCTGCGGTGTCACCATGGTCCCTCGGTCCCTCCTCAGCACCATATGTCATCTGTCCCTCTGCTTCACCCTGGTCTCCTCTCCCATCTGCTCCGCCCCTGTCAGTCGGCCCCCTGGTGTTGTCAGCCCCACTACCATCGGCTCCACCAGGGGTCCTCCCTCCAGCTACTCCGCCCTGGTCTCACCCTCCATCTGCTCCGCCCTGGTCTCGCCCTCAGCCTGCTCCGCCCTGGTCTCGCCCTCAGCCTGCTCCGCCCTGGTCTCGCCCTCAGCCTGCTTTGCCCTGGGGACGCCCTCAGCCTGCTCCACCCTGGCCACGCCCTCAGCCTGCTCCGCCCTGGCCACGCCCTCAGCCTGCTCCGCCCTGGCCACGCCCTCAGCCTGCTCCGCCCTGGCCACGCCCCGCCCAGCCCCCAGTTCGTCCCCCCTCCTTCCTCTGTTATGCGGCGTGAGGTCACGCCTCCCGGGAGGGGGGAGTTCTGTCACAGTCTTCGTCTGCACCGTCCTGTCTTGTCATCAGCACTACACTTCCCAGGATCCTCTTGTCTCCACTTCTGAACTCACTCCCTCATCAGCCACCTGTTCCTCGTCTTGTTCATCAGTATCACCTGTCTTCACATCATTATTGTTTGATTCCTCTGTGTATTTAGTTCTCCCTCCTTCAGTCTGTGTTTGTCGGTCAATGTTTAATGTTACGCTGTGTATCCTGTCTTCCTGCCTGTATTTTTGAAATTAAATCTACGTTCTTCGTGATTTTGGACTCAGCCTGTCCTTCTGCCTGAACCCGCACCGTGACAACCTGAGGGTCAATCATCTGTTTCTCCTCTTGGGGTTCCCTCCGAGTCTCCTCACGGTGGAGAGCAAGTTTTTGATATTTGGAAGGACATTAAAAGGGTTCCTCCGTTTTCTGAAAAGGAAGTAGAAAAGTATTTTTCCCACTTTGAGAGAGTTGCTACTTCATTGAAGTGGCCAAATGAGGTTTGGACGCTTCTTCTTCAATGTGTGCTTACGGGTAAGGCTCAAGAAGTTTATTTAGCACTTAGTCTAGAACAGAGTGCAGTATATGATACTGTCAAAACATCTATTCTTCATGCTTATGAGTTGGTGCCCGAAGCATATAGTCAACGTTTCCGAAATTACTTTAAAAGTGAAAAGCAGACGTTCGTAGAGTTTGCTCGGGAAATAGAGAACATGTTTGATAGGTGGTGTGCTTCTAGGCGGGTTGAGACCAAAGAACAGCTCAGGGACTTGGTTCTTTTAGAGGAGTTTAAGAATTGTGCCCCAGTAGGTCTAGTTACTTACTTGAATGAACAAAAAAATTTCCAAATTGTGTGATGCAGCAATTATGGCTGATGAATTTGCATTTACCCATAAAGGGGTGTTTGGAAATCGTGACCTAAAAAGAAACTACTATCAGGGTCGAAGTCGCCCGGCTATGACAGGATCTAGTTCTGTTCCAACCTCTCTCAGTAAACATGAGGCAGTTCCTGCTAGGGCAAA